AAGAAGCACGTTGCATCGCCCCTCTTTATTCCCATCCGTCTCCCATCCGCGCTCGGTGGAGCTGCACGACCGAAAGAAATCATGCTGAGCGCTGCTGTGTGATGCGGCATGAAGGCGATTCGAAATCAGCCCGAGTCTAGCTCCACGCAGCTTTGTGCCACGGATCAGCCTGCCCTGGCACGCCAGATTTATAACAATGCGGCCTCCATTCCTCAAGGTGACCCTAATTCGCCAGCCCAACGGGCCATAGGCGTACTAAGATCCCCGGTAACAGGTTCACAATATTTCAACTTCGCGCGCGCGTGGCGGCCACTGGGGACCCCCCCAGGATGCCCGGGCGATGCCCAGGCGACTCCCCCAGGCGACTCCCCCAGGACGCTCCAGGAGCGCCAAGAGGGCGCAAGGACGCCCCCTACACAGCCCAAGGGGCCCCGAGTCACCGAAAGATCGCTCCAAGATGCTCAAGATGGTCTTTAGATGGCCCCAGAGGCCGCGAAAAAGCCCCAAGATGACCTCAAGAGGCTCTCCAAGAGGGCCCCAACAAGCAAAAATCGTCCCATTTCCCTCGGAAAACATACTTTTTTCGGATGCGAAAGCGTTTGGGAGTTCACAACGTCCAGAACTGCCCCAGAGGCCCCCGACATCGTCCCCAGACGGCCCAACACGCCCCAGGGCCCCAAGACCGCCCCAAGACGGCCCAAGATGGCCCCAAGACAGCCCAAAAGCGTCCAAGACGGCCCAAGAGGGTCCCAAAACGGCCCCAGGAGGGGCCCAAGAAGGGAACCAGGAACAAAAAAGTCCAGCCTTCAGCCCCAAGAGGCCCTCAGGAGGCCCAAAGAGGCCCCCAAGAGGCCCTAAGGGGCCCCCAAGAGGCACCCCAAGAAGCCCCAAGAGACCCCCAAGAGGCCCCAAGAGGCCCCGGCACGGCACCCCATTGAAACCAAAACCCAGACAAACGACAGCGGCGAGGCAATATGGGCCGGCGGAATAAGCGAAGTGATTAAATAACAGGGGAAGTTCGCCCAGACGTTCTTCAAAAAACAAGATCGCGTGGAGCCCTCCGCAAATAGGCGAATCACACTGTCGGCTACACCACACATGTCCATCCTTTCTTTCACCCGCGGAGTCCTTCGGATTCGGGGCCGTTCGTATCGTTCTTAGCTGGCGTCCACGTTTGGCACCTGAGTGCGGCGAGCTCGATGCTCCCGTGTCTCTGCTCGCACGCCATGTAGATCCAAGGAAGCGCGCGGGTGCATCAACAGCAGACACGCACCTCCGCACACGCATCCCCCCTCTCCGTCCGCTTCTCTCCGACGCTCCCGGCCTCGCGCTGCTCCGGACCCAGGGAGACCCCGAGCAGACGCCGGAGGCCGGCGGGGCGAGCGGGTGCAATTTCCTTGTGTTGTTTGCAGCCATCGTTCTCTGGCTTGGGGTGACTAAGAGAGCCCGCCGCCCAAGATGCCCCCAGCTCTTCGCTCCATTCTGGAGCCCCTGGGGCCCTCTGGGCCTCGTGAGGGGTGCTCAGAAGGCTGCAGGTCCTCTCCTTGGAAATCTTGGGGGCACCTTGGGCGAAGAACATTTCTGGCAACACCAAACTTGCGCCTCCCAGTGTAATGGTGGCATGACCTCATTATCATTGAGAGCTGTTGGTTGCGTTGCTGTCGTCGTCGTCAGATCTCACGGCGCCTCGGTCCTCGCACCTATGGGTGTGCTCGGTGTGCTGTGGCCTGCGCTTCCTTTCCCCTCAGCACCCAAAGTAGCAGAGGATGACGGGGAGGAAGAGTAAGATGAGTATGAGGTTCTCTCTACCACTCGTCTGCTTCGATTCGTCGATGCGCGTCCAGAGGTGGAGGACTGATGCAGAAGCAAGGTTTGCCACCGAAAAGAGCCGTTGGCGGTAGACCAGCAAGAGCATATCCAACGCGTTGTCTCCTCCGTCTCCCATCCCCACTCCCCTCGCCCCTCCTCCTCCCTCTCCTCCTCCCTCCTCTTCCTCCTCCTCCTTCTCCTCCCCCTCCTCCTCCCCCTTCTCGCCCTCCTCCTCGCCCTCCTCCTCCTCCTCCTCCTCGCCCTTCTCCTCCTCATCATCATCATCCTCCTTCTCCCCCTCCTCATCCGTCTCATCCTCTTCGTCCTGCCCTTTTTCATGGAGGGCGGGGAGCAAAGCCAGAGGCAGCTTGCTCGGCGAGAACAAGAGGCAGCAGGAGAGAACCCGGGCCACGCGCCAATTATGAGGCAAACTTGAAGTCACACGGTGATCGTTTTGTTCTTCATTGCTTTGCCGATCGGCGCGGGTCCTCGCACCCCCCCCTTACTCCCCACCCCCCAGGAGTAGATCTTGGCTGTTGTTGGCGCCTGTTTCGAGCGGGCGGTGTCTCCCTTCACAGGACCCGCTGCTGCGAACAGTCGCACTGAGCAGAGATCCGGTGCCAGACCCCAGACCCCCCTCCCTCCCCCCCCCTCCTTCCGCCCAATGTCGAAACGCCGAATAAACATGGTCGCCCAACGAAGTCTCGAGTGGGAACGCTGGTTTTGTTAGGACGGCGGTTGTCGGCGGCGAGGAGGAACACCGCCTTGAGCAAAAAGGGAGGAAGTCTTGAGCGGGAGCCGTGGTTTTGTCGGGACGGGGGCTGTCGGCGGCGAGGAACAGCACCGTCCAGAGGAAACATGATCGCCCCACGAACCCGGAAAGGAAACTATAGAAATGTAAGGCATGGCAACGCTTCTAAGACACCTGATTGGGCGACAGGCAAATGCAATGCTGAGTGTATCGATCTTGATATACCGTGCCGAGGGTTGTGCTGTGCTGCGCCGTGCTGAATTGCGATGTGCCGTGCAGGGATTGTGCCCTGCAGCTTTGTTGATCGAGTCCTCCTTTGCATCCGAGTCTTGGCCGAACTGATCTGGATCTTAAGCTCGAGCTGCCTGAGCACATAGTAGCTGCCCCAGATCTAATTGACAAGGGGACGTGCCAGGAGGACGCGACGCGGAACGTCCCAAGGGACGCGCCAGGCGACGTGCCAGGGGACGTGCCATGGGAACGCACCGCGGGACGTGCCAAGGGGACGCGCTACGGAACGTGCTAATGGACGTGCCACGGGACGTGCCAAGGGACGCCCCGCGACGTGCCAGGGGGACTCGCCACGGGACGCGCCACGGGACGTGCCAGGGAACGTGCCAAATTGCAATGCTGAATGCATCGATCTTGATGTACCGTGCCGAGGGCTGTGCTGTGCTGCGCCGTGCTGAATTGCGATGTGCCGTGCCGCGGTTGTACTCTAAGTGTTGTGGATCGGGTCCTCCTTTGCATCCGAGTCCTGAACGAACTGATCTGGATCTCAAGCTCGAGATGCCTGAGCACACAGTAGCTGCCCCAGAGCTAATTAACAAGGGGACACGCCAGGAGGACCCGCCGCGGAACGTCCCATGCCAGGAGGACCTGCCGCGCGTCATTGGCGCAGCCCTTGGAAGCAGGGGAAAAGAGGACGGATGGAAGGGGAAGGGAGAAGGACGGAGCCCGGAATTAGCAGGAGGGGGGTTAGGAGCAGAGCGCACGTGGCAGAGCCAGACGGGCCCAGCGGGCGGCTTAGACCGGGCGGGTCGGGAAGGCGGGCCTTGATGGCCAGGTCGAGCAGGCGGTGAGTGTCGCATGAGCCGCGAGGAAATCTCTGGCGATAGCGCGATTGCCAGGTACCTCGAGGCAGGCAAAAGCGAGAGCGTAATTCCTGAGCGTCATAGGCGCGGCGTTTAGATTAATTACAAGGAAGTCCCACTGAGGCCCTCTTGGAGCTATTTTGGGTGACTCTCCCGGGCCCAGGGGAGGGGGTAAGGGGAGGGGTCAAGCTGCCCGCCCGCCCGCAATCCGTCTTGCTCACTCCCACCCGCCCTCCCAACACATACGTAACATCCGGGAGTCAGCATATCGCGTAAGAACTCCGCAGGCGCCACGGGTTCCAGGTGCACCAGACCTTGGAGGCCCAAGCGTACCAGGCGCGCCAGGTGCGGCACGTGCTCCACGTGCGCCCAGTGTTCCACGTGCTCCAGCCGCGCCAGGTGTGCCAGCCACTGGGAACTAACAGGGGCTCTTGGGCCTGGCTTTGAACTTTTCGGAAAATGTTGGAGCCATGTGGAGTTTTTGAAATCCCATCAGAAACGATAAGGCGAAAAGGCAGCAGCCATTGATGTGTCAACCAGTCGGTCGACCACCTGCGCCCAGAAGGCAGGTGGTATCTGCTGGCACCCCAACCGTTCCTGTAAAATACCCATACAAAATGGTCGCGGGGCGGCCGCGCATGCTCCAAATGTAGAGGCTGAGTGCGTTTTGTATTGTTGTTTGTCAGGGATGGTGGGGGGGGGCCTTCATGGGGTTGTCATGGTTCCGGGTTAACCGCCAGCCAGGTTGGGGGGGGCGCTTTCTTGGAGGAAATAAAGAAAGACAACAAAAACAAAAAATGGGAACAATGATAAGCCCTTCCCCCGAGCAGGGGAAGGAGGGTTCTAGCAGAGAGAGAACACAAAGTCATGTAAACCACCTTACGCCCAGAGGGCTGGTGGGATTGTCCCAGCGTGAAACCCCAAAGAGCAAGTTGTTGCATTGTGGATGTGCAAGCTAGGTGGTTCAAGCTACGTGGTGCCAGTGTAAGCTATGCGGTGCAGCAGACGTAATGCGAGCTAGAGGTGGCCACGAGGTGGCCGCGGGCGGCAGCGTGGCGAAACATCGCAGGACCCACCCAGCGCACGAGGCGAGGCGGCCACGAGGGGGCCACGGGCGGCAACGTGGAAGATCCTCGCCAGGCCCTCCCAATCCCTGAGCGAGACAAGTAAGACCTCCTGAACGCAAGCAGCGTCTGGGTAAAAGCGTCCGTCGTGATTCTTTCCCGGCGAGGGCAGGTGGGCTTAATTAACCTTCTCCAGCAGTGCAGAGCAGAGTGGGGGCGCGCACCAGGCCACGCCCGAGGGCGGCGGTATTCGCGAGCTTGCGGCGCAGGGAGACGGCAAGGACCCCGGCCGCCGCGCGGGTGTTGTTGGGTATGGAGATCGGGCGGGTGGTAATGGGAGGTGACCCACATGGGGGGTGAAGCAAGGGGCCTTTTAGAGCCCCTTTTCTTCACCCCTCCCTTTAGGTCACCCCCCATTACCACCCGCCCTAGGAGAGAGGAGGGTTGCCGCGGCGGAGTCCACATTCGAATGCGGTGTGCCGTGCTACTCGCGTGTATCAGCCCTGCTTGGTTGACTACGTTCTCGCTCGCTCGTCGCCCTTCCTCCCGCTCGTCCTCGTCGTCCTCTGCCTCCTCCTCCTGCTCCTCCTCCTCCTCCTCCTCCCTTCCTCCTCCTCCTGGCCGCCTCCTCCTGGAGCGAGCGGGGGGGGACTATCTGAGGAAGGCGCAGGATGAGCAGGCGAGGTAGCAGGAGGGGGGGGGGAGAAGCGGAAGGGGGCAAGAGGAAGAGGGGCAGGGACAAGTTAGATGCGTTCGCGCCATATCTGACAGCCTACCCCTCCCTTCCCATTGTCGTGAATGTTGTTTTCAATCCGCCGACGCGCGTCATAGCAGACCTGGAACTCAAAGGAAAACCCCATCGTGTTATGCCCAATCGTAACAGGAGAGCTGCGTACATTGGAAACAAGGTGGCGGATGAGCAGAAGGAAAAGCAGAAGGATGAGGGAAAGTCTTCTGCAGGCTGCCCTCGCAGGAGCGTTGGGCAGCGTTTGAAGACCTGGTGCTGGGCTGGACTCCTGGGCACGCGCGCCAGGCCCAGTGCACCCAGGGCCCCGCCCAGCAGCTGCCAGGGCACGCTCGTGCCCGAGACATGCGGACAGACAAGGCGCTGCCTGGGAGATGCTGGGGCGGCTCGCCTTCGCGCGCTGCTCGCCATCGTGCGCAGCCGACGAGAACGCTGCGCTGCTCGCCTTCTTGCGCCGGCTCGCCTTGACGGGCGCCTGCTCGCGCAGGGGCGCGCGGTGCGCGCATGCGCCACCGTGCGCGCACGGCCCCCATCGGCCCGGGCGGGCGCGTTCGCGCGCAGCTGCCTGCCTGCGCGCACTCTGCGCGCTTTCGCATGCTCGCACGCGCCGCTGCGCGCTGCCGGGCGCCCCCGCTTTGCGCGCTTGCGCGAATTTGTGCACGCTATTGCGTGCTTGCACGAGCTTCTCCGTAGCCATTTTGGCTTAAGTGCGGGCTCAGTCCCGCACGCCTGCCGTGTGGACGCCGGCGTGTCGCCCCCTCCGATCGTACCCGCGGCCGGACGCGGCTCGAAAAACTCGCGCGTAGGGTAATCCGCGCGCGTGGCCGCATGCCGGGCGGCTGCCGCGGCAAGGCGCCGGCCAGCGGTGGCCCCGCCGTGCCGCCGCAGCTGGGGAAGGCACTGCTGGCCGCATGCTGGGCGGCTGGGCTGCCTGGGCTGGGAGACGGCGGGGGGCAGCAGAAGCAGGGGCGGGAGCGCAAGGCGGGTGGGCGTGGTGGGCGCCTCGAGGCCCCAGAGGGCCCGCGGCAACCCATGTGGGGCTGCTCGTGCGGGGTGTCCGACAATTGGGCCTGTCGGACTGCCTGCCGTGCGTGCGGCCGCCGCGGCCCGCGCGCTGCCGTTGGGAACACGCCGCACCCCGGAGCGGAGCGCCCTCCCCCGGCGGCTGCCGCGGCGCGGACCTGGGCTCAGGTGGCGGGAGCCGCGGGGCCGCAGCCGGGCGCGGCACAGGCGGCGCCGCCGGCCGGGCCGCAGCCGGCGGTTGCCCCTCGGGATCCCGCTCCGACAGCGGCGCCGACGGCTGCGGAGCGCCTCGCAGGCCTCCGGGCCCGCATCACCGCGTTCAAGCCTTTCCCGGAGTGCGCCGCCACCGTGGCGCAGCTGGAGGCGGAGGCGGCGGCGGTGGTGGAGGCGGAGCGGGCCGCCCGCCCGCTCGAGCGCAGGCTGCAGTCCGCGGTGGACGCCCTGCGCAACAAGGCAACGGCGGCCCAGAAGGCGCGGCAGGCCGCCCTGGACGCGCAGGACGTGGCCGAGCGGGCCGTGCAGGCTGCCGCAACGATGGAGGCGCAGGCTGTGCAGGCGGAGGCCGAGGAGGCGGCCGCCCAGCAGGCGCTGGCGGCAGTGCAGGCCGAGACCGCCGCGGGAGGCGCCGCCGCGCCCGCGGGCGGCCCTGGTGCCCATGGAGGAGGGCTCGACGCGGCCTTCGCGGCGCTGTCGGCCGCGGCCCCCCCCCCGCGCGAGCCGCCGTGGCCGGTCTCCTGGAGCAGCTTCGCGGTGCGCTGTTGGCGGCGCCAGGTGGCGCAGGGCATGCTGGGCCTGCAGCAGCGGTGGCGGCCGGCCCGGGCGGCGGCTCGGAGCCGCCAGGCGGCGCAGAGGCTGCGGCGCCGGCCGAGGCGGGCTTGCTTGCCGCAGGGGCCCCTCCTGGGGAGGCTCCGCCACCACGCGGAGCGCGCGCGGCGGCCTCGCCGGGCGGCAGCGGGCGGCGCGCGGCCTCCGCAGGCGCGAGGGCTGCACGTTGGTCCTCCCCCTTCCGCGGGGGCTCCGAGGACGGCGACCGCTCCCGGTCCACGGATCGCGGAGTTTCCCCAGGCTCCCGCATCCCCCTTTTCGCTCGGCCCGCGCAGTTGCCGCCTGGGCAGCGGACTTTGCCCCTGCGGCGGTGCGCGCGCCTAGCCGCAGCGGCACCTGGCGGTGCCTGATGGTGCCTCGTTCGCGCTGCCGCCGCCGGGCGCCCTGCCGCAGCCGGCGTGTGCGGGTGAGCGACGCCGCGGAGGCCCGGGGAAGGCCAAGTGTGAGCCGCGGGTGCGTCGCGGGCCTGCTGGCGCTGCTGCGGCCCTCCCTGGATCGCTGGCTGCTGAGTCCCCGGGGGGGGGTCCGGGTTGGCGAGGCGCGGCACCCTGGCCCCGGGGCCGCCGCCGGGGCTTCGCGGGCCGTCGCCGGGGCCGCCGGGGCCGCCGCCGGGGCCCCTGGGGAGGTCGCCGCCGGGGCCTTCGCCCGCGCGGCCGCTGCCGGGGCTGCCGAGGCCGCCGCCGCCGCCGGGGCCGCGGCCGCGGACGCGGGCCCAGAGGCCGCCGGCGCGGCCCGAGGCTCGAGGTATTTATTTTTTAATAAATACCTCCCTTCCGCTGGCTTGATTCCTGGGCCGCCGGCGCGGGCGCCGGTGCCCCACAGCGGCGGCAGCTGGGAAGATGGAGCCCCGGGCCGTCTTCCCACCTGGAGCGTGGCTGGCGCCGCACGCGCCGCCGGGCTTCTCGACGACGGAGCCCCAGCCCCCCCCTCGGCCCCGCGTGGGGCGCCTGCCCTGAGGATCTCGGCCTGCCCTGAGGATCTCGGGGTCCCGCCCCCGTCCTCGACGGACGGCGGGGCACCTTGGAAGGGGAAGTGCGCCTTGGAAGGGGAGGTGGCGCCCCGCGCTGGGGGGGGACCCTGTGCTGCCGAAGCTGCGCGCGATGCGGCATGGCCGCGGATGGGCGGGCTGCCGGCTGCGCGGTGGAGCGGGTGGCCGTACCGAGGCGTCCGCGTGGGCGAGGCGTCCCACCCTGGGCCTGCCCACCCAGACGACGTGTTCACAGTGGGGGTGGCCAACGTGACGCGATGGAGCGCAAGCTGGCGGGGGCTGCTGGCGGCGGCCGCCGATGCATGGTGCGTGCAGGAGGCCCGCATCCCCGCCCGGCAGGCGTCGTCCACCTCTGCGGATGCGTGGACGCGCGGCCTGCGGCTCCAGGTGGGGCCTGAGCACGATGGTGAGCATCTGCTGGCAGTCGCTCACAGGTCAGGGCGTTGCGGGGTCCGGGCGGAGCCGCCCCTGGGCGTGTCGAGCAGGCACCCGGGGCGCCTCCAGCACATGGTGATCCACTTCGGGCAGGCCCGGGCCATCCACTTCATGAACTGCTACGGCTACGCGGGCGGAAGGTGCGATCAGGAGCGCAACGCCGACCTGATCCTTGAGGGCTTGCTGTGGCTGCGTGGCCTCGGCGCGGTGCCGGCCTTCTTGGTGGGGGACCTGAACTGCAGCCTCGAGGCCGTGGGCCTCTCGGGGGTGCTGGCCATGGCAGGCTGGCGCGACCTGCTGGCCGCGGCAGGGCCCACCTTGGATGCCGCGTTCCCCGGGGCATTGGTGCAGCTCGCGGAGGCTGATTGGGCGTCGGCCCGCGCGGCTGCGCGTGAGCGCAGGCAGAACGAGTGGCGCCGGTGGGTCGACGAGTCCCTGGCGAACGCGCAGGGCCGCCTGTACAGGTGGATCCGCGGCGGTGGCACGCTGGACGCGGAGCTCGTGCCTGACCCCGCGGCCAATGCAGCGGCGCCGAACGCTCCTGGGCGGCGGTCCTGGCTGCTTGCATTGCGCGGCGTGCCCGCCGCTAGGCTCCGCTTCTACGAGGGGCCCTGGAGACAGCTCTGGCAGCGACAGGCGGCCCCTCCACTCGGCGAGGTCTGGCTGCAGGAGCTGGGCGGCCTGCCGCCCTTCCCGCCCAGGCAGCAGTGGGCAGCTGCTGACGTCGAGTGGCTGCTTCGCCCCAAGCGGAAGAAGCCGGGGCTCGATGGTTGGACGGTGGCGGAGCTGCGCCTCCTGCCTCAGGAGCTGCTGGGCTGGGTGGCCGACTTCTTCGAGGCCGTGGAGGCCGTCGGCGAGTGGCCAAGCGAGCTGGTAGAGCCAGAGGGGCCCCTTCTGCCGAAGCCTGGCGGGGGGGCGGGGCCCTTGGACAGGCGGCCCATATGGCTGCTGCCGATCATGTATCGCTTGTGGGCGGCGGGGCGGGCCCGTGACTTCGCGCGCTGGCGGCTGAGCTGGGCGGGGGAGGACGTCCAATTGGGGGCTGAAGAGCTCGCCTGGGAGCTCGCCTTGGAATTGGAAGCAGCAGAGGCGATGTCCGAATCCATCGCAGGAGCCGCACTCGACTGGTGCAAGGCATACGACCAGGTGAACTTGGCGTCGCTGCCGGGCCTGCTGCGGCGGGCGGGGCTGCCAGACTGGTTTGTGAAGCCGGCTCTCAGCGCCTACGCTGCTCGCCGGCGGATTCGCGTCGGGCGCGCAATCGGC